CTATATAATAGCTTTTAAGTTTTTATATAGAAGTGGGAGAAGAAAGCCCTTTGACCGTTAAAAGGTATACGAAATACTGGGGGATTTTTGCTTAGGTAATTCCTTCAGTTAGAATATCTAACTGGTGTAGTGAGCCACAAAACCAGAATCTGTGTTTGCCTTTTGGATAACAGAGGACCAAAACTTCCCCCAGGACCAGACAAACTTTCATGGACCAGTTGCTAAGAATTTGAAAGGGTACAGATTGAGATCTTGTAGTGTTACACTCTGATTAAATGTAGGGAACCATGTAAATATCAAAGTTAAAATATTTAGTAATAACGAGTCATTGGAAAAAAACATCGTTATGGAAATCCTAGAGCAAGCATATGAAGTGCCTCCTCGATCAGACTGTTAAAATGATGGGACTGGAAGGTGTGTGGGACATTTATACTCAATTGCGGGAAGTAATAGATTTCCAAATATGAAAAAAATCCCATCTTCTGTAAAACCCACACTGGAAAAGTGCTTGTTTTCTATTCACAATTCTAGAGGTGTTTCTGAAAACTTGCTGGTCTTTGGGAGGAAGGATTTCACTGAACTTGTGCTAGTAGTAGATGTAGTGCTTCCAGGAATCTGAATGATTGTCTAAGCAAAGCTCTGAATGTTAGGTAGTGAAAGGGCAATGCTTGTCAGCATGCTGACAGTCCCCATATATATGCAGGTTGAAAATTTGTTCACAAGGTTTTGAAGGCACATGTAGCGAGATAGCTATTTAGTATGAGTTTGCTTACAAATAATTTCCAGAGGAATTGTGAAATGTTGTCAGATTTGTGCTGCATGTAGGTAAAAATGTGGAAATGCAGTCTAGGAGCTTGAGTTATATCCATATTTATTCAGCTGGCTATATTTAGAAGACGGCCGCAATTGCTTTTGGACAAAGTCCCTTAGCAAGATATAGAGGACCAGTCCTACTAAGTTCAATACACTGATTATTTCAGCTTTCTTTTTAGTATGCTTTATTTATTACATGTCAGTATACTAAGTTAATGTGATAATGTTGCCTTCATTACATAGAATCTTACCCATGTTTGTAACTTCTGCTCTAATAAATAGTAATAAAAAAAATACATTGTAATTGTTCATCGTAGCTAGGTTTTCCTCCAGTGTTCAATACTGGCGACTCCTACAGGCATCTAAGCCAGGTTTTATCAGTCTTCTCTGTTCACATGTTCAGATGCCGAGTGCCTTTTCAGGGTCATGAATGACAAATAGTTGCTACTCAAAGTACTGTTAATCTATTACTTTTATCTAAAAAGATCTTATTTTCTTGACAGAAGTATTTTCTGACTATTTTGGAGAACATTTATGCCCCTCTTAAGTCTCCTTTTTAGTATTTTATACAGTTATAATGAAGATCAACTATTGTATTTGTTGACCATGTAAAATGTTTCAGTTGCACTGATATAACATACCAAGGGTGTTTTTTCTCTATGCAATATTTGCGGATTAAAGATGACAAAACTTCCCCTTCTGTCAATCTATAGACCGTTCTGTGTCCATAAGTACCCATTTCCCATGAGACAGGCCTTTCGATTACAGGTGAGGAAGTATTTCTTTTTGTTAGTCCGGGAGAGCAGGAACTAAAGATTTCCTTTGGTGTAAATTTCTAGTGTTTTATCAATATGTTGTCACAATACTCAATAACAAATAAATACACCAGTTCTGTAATTGCTCCTTGCGTTCACCTATATTGATTGAAACTGATAAAGGAAATCCTCTATCTCCAAGTCCTCATTCTGTGTAAAACATTGTTAGTAAATAAAATACATGTGCACTTTAAAATTTGAGACACCATTGTAATCTTCATACTGAAACAGAACTTTTGTGTTTCCTGTTTGTTTACTGGAGGCATTATTTAGAACCTGTTTTCAGATGTTTTAATATTAATGCCTTACTTTTTCTATCAACACACTTAATTTAAGCCCTATCCTTTCATATGCTGGGCTGCTCAGTATAGTTTTATGTATTATCCTGAAGGCTGATCGTTAAAGATACATAAAACAGTTTGCTTTAAAACTTTTAAAATACGTAGCTTTGTAGATTAAATTTCAATAGAGGAATAAATGTCACATCTCAAGTGTGAAAGCTACAGAATGTTTAGACAATTAGAACCTTTAAAAGGTGAAAAGATGCATTAAAAGCAGCATTTATAGAGTTCAGCAACGGAAATGTGTAACATTGCTGGCATAACTTCACACCTCTCAGTTTCAGCCTGGTGTGTGCTGTTGTACCCAGCTGGCGTTTCAAGAGGTTGTTTTATGGCAACACTCTTTACTCTGGCATGTATGAAGCAGGGCCCTGAGACTGCAGATCCTGCAATCAAATCTGACTTTCTGTACAGAACTAATGAAAATGCCTCCTAATAGAGCTAGTGAGAATGGAAGTCTTCTCAGGGGAGCTGTCTGAACTAAGCTGGAAACACATGGCCTGTTGGTTGTACCTCGTGCTGAACGCTGAAATCAAAATCCTATGGGCTGTTTTTAAAGCAGAAATACACAATGCCCATTATTACATCAGTCCATCTGCTTGAAATACAAGAATACAGCAATTACGATATAAAGCCCTTTCTTCTTAATCCAGAGATTCCAGGCAATGCATAGGAACTCCTCACCTTTTGTAAAACCCCTTACGTAACTTTCGACATAAGCATTCATTACTGAACGTTTTTTTGTTTAACTGAAACAGCATGAAGTAAGAGCTAATAAAGGTATTAAGAGCGGGTAGAGTCCAGATAAAAGAATATCTGAATTCTTCAAAGCAGTTGGCAGTATGCCAGAACTGGTTGGAAATGAGATACTACTCAATTGTTTTGATTTGTCCCAGAGCACTTGTGTGTGACAGACACACACAAGTAACGGGTGTTTGGACACTTCAGATGAGGTAGATTGCTGACAGTCTCTGCTCTTTGTTGGTCATCATGTCCTACTTGGTTAACGTACAGTCTGATAAGCTGCCTGGCACAATTCTTTTTGCTTCATCGTTCCAGCCAGTCACTGTTGAAGGAAGGGATCAAGTGGCAATGAACAGAGTAAAAAAGAAGCTAAAACCCATCCATTTTCTCCAGCAGCTTAGAAGGAAATAAAATTTGTGCGTGCTGCTTCATGAAACCACTGCTTTTGTAACTCAATTCTTCCCCTTTCACAATAAATTCTCTTTGCTTTCTCTGAAAAAGCAGTGGTCTTACCAAAGTGTAATACTTCCTTCCCAAGAAGCACGGATGCTTAATGTTAAGCTTTGTCTTGCGTTACTGCCAGTTTTCTGTGTACTTTTTATTTATTATTATTGTTCTTTGTGATGCATCATGTTGTAATGTATGGATTAATACTTAAAATAGTGTTCAGTTCCTCAGGATATGTTATGGACTAACTTAAGAGTCAGATGGTTGGGTCCACTGAAGCGTAGGTTACAGCCTAGCCTAGTTCCACTATATGACAGCCTTCCAAAGCTCCAGCTTTTGCACAGTGTTAACAATTACTTGGACCGTTTTATGCCTAACTCTGTTTTTGCAACAGCAAAGCATACTATACAACATAAATGTGTTCTATATTTAATATTCTGTTAAAGTTACACTGCAGAACCGCATTTACAGGCATTCACTTAGAACATGTTATACTCAATCTATGCACTGGATAACGTTCAGACATTAGAGAAAGACGATATAAAACCAGAAACATTGGGGGATTAAGTATCACATTTAGTTGCAGTAAATAAAAACAAACACCACCATTATGCAAGAGTATTTTATTTTCTGCCTTAAACAAATAAAAGCACATTTCTGATTTGAGGTAAACCATTAGTAGTAGTTTACAGAGTATAAATGTCTCTAAAAATAAAATAGCAACACAAAGGTCATGACAAGATTTACATTTGTCTCTAGACCTTCATTAGGTAGTTCATACAGTACCACTTTACGCAAGCTATCTGGCTCAAGCAACCACACGGTTCATTTGAAGGCCTGGTGTAACCAAAAGAAAATGCCATGACAGTGTTAGGACTGAGGGAAAGTCATTCGTTCTCACCACAGATGGTCTCAGGCACTTTAACATGTTGTGTCAACTTGTTTATGAAAGCTGCTGTTGCACAATGCACTCTACTTCCAAACAATTTTGCCTAGTTTACACCTTCCCACTCAGGACTCTGTTCATCGTTTTTGTCCTGTTGCCAAATGGAAGCAACTCGTCTGGACAGCTGAACCAGAGAAACTAAATAGGGGGGGAACTATACCAGACAGGCACCCAAGCTGAATCACTTGGACAAGAAACACATTTACGAGTGATCAGCAAATCATTAGTTATCTCCTTCGAATTTCGGAGAAGGTTTTGCAGCAGTATTTTGGATGATGGAGCACATTTACATTTGTCCTTGGTCAGATCCATTTACCCAGGCCCCTCTGGCAGGAGGCTAGGTTACATAGTCAGAACAAACCTAGTAATTACAGAGAGATGTAAGCTAAGGGAGCAAATAAGTAAAAAGCAATTCAAAGGTCAGGCCCCCCCGGAATAGCATTGCTGGTTATGCATGAGATGATTGTGCCGTTTCTTTTAATGGCAACGTTCCAAAGCAACAAAGGCCTCAATACAGAAATGGCTTACACCATGTTATTTTATTTTGTACAGGGAACTTGTGTAAGTTACATTGACTGGTAACATTTGTCTGCTAGTTAAAGCTGCATGTACAAGAGCACTTGTTAATCATGCCATACCAGCAAGCCTTTTTTAGGCCTAGGAATCAATAGCAGCTGGTCTTCCCTGTTTAATATCATTTCATTAAAGTTCACAGAAGAGTTAGTAAGAGGGAAAGTGAATGAATAGTAGTCCAGTCAAGTCACACTTCATGGTGTACCTGTTTTTTAGGAATGCCTAGTTATACTCAGTATCTAAACCTTTGTAATACTTCAGATGTGCTTTAAAAGTAAACAAAGAATATTAATCCATGCATAATTATGCATGACTGAATACATCAAGTATTCATCAGTCCTTATTAACTTCCTAAGTATCTAAAAGTGATTTAACCTCTCAAAAAGTCTTACCTTTTTTTAAAGCAGTTAGTGTTTCATCTGTAAGTTGCTATGTAACTCCTTAAAAGCCAAATTATCTTACATAATATTGAATTACATTGCACCACAAATGAGTACGATGCTTCATGGACAAATTAAATATAGTCCCTTTTCTAAAAGAATTACAACCCAAGGCCCAGATCCTGCAGAAGCTAACACAAAACAGGATTTAGTGGAATTTGTGTTGCATATGTGAAGTTAACTCTTGTGCTTGTGTCCACAGTGCTAGGTTGTTAATGAAAAAACGTGATTTCAACCTACTCTGCACTAAATGGTGATAGAAGAAAAACAGTAATAGTCCTTTATTGCCAAAATTGCAGTTTACTTTTGCACAGACATTTTTCGTGCATACTTCAGATTAAGCAGGTTTAAAGGAAGACAAATCTTAGACCTTTAGTAGTTTACCACTGAATTTGAAAAAGAAACCTTTGAAAAAGAAACCTTTGAAAAGAAACAATTCACTGTAACTCTGGACCTTTTGTAAGCATTGCTGCTGTTGCAACTTGTAAAACAGAAGTGGAATGTTACAAATGATCCTCTACGATTCAAAAATAGATTGGTCCTCACTGCACTCTCTAGTCTTTGTTTGCATCCTGGGCATCTTTTTCTTCTTCATCAGAGTATACAGTGGGTTCCTCCCCTTCTTTCAGCAGCTTACCAACATGGTGATATTTAACTGGGGAAAAAGAAAGAATCCAAGTCATAATTCTGCCCTGAAGATGTACCTTTTTTAACTCCTATGTCTGTTTCCTGAATTAACAAAATGCCTATATTAGAATGAAACAGCTCTCAGCGACTTGTTGCAAACACTGGGGGGAAGGTGAAAAGCCAAAATCAACTACCTGAACTACTATTAATGTTGTAGTAAGTGTAAGAAACATGCGAAGTGCATGTAACCTCCTAAGCCAAAAGGGGAATGAATGTAAAGACACATGTAAACTGAGGGACTCATCCAGCAAAAGAAACAGAATCCTGGATTAGATTATTTCTCTTGCCAATGTCAAAGCTCGTTTTCAACCAATGGCATTGTTAGAATATTTACGTTGTATATTATACATGCACGCACATGCACACATGTGCACAATTTTCAAGGGTTTTTATTTTTTGTAATATATGTTGAAAATATCCAATAGGACAGAAGAAAGATCCTTTCTTCCAAAGATAAAGACAGATCTGTTATCCGATTATGCAGCTAAGCCTCTGCCTTATTTTATATCTTTCTGGACATGTAAAAACACCAAGATCATATACATGTAAGAACTGAGAGCTATGTTGCCCATCTGTCAACTTCAACAAAGCAAAAGATGCCTCTGACTACAGGTATTTCGGACTAGCATTGTTGTTATAATTAAGAATTTAAAGCAACTAATCGCCAAATTTACTAGAAACATAGTAATAAAAAGAGTGCAGTTCACTGTCAGTCCTGATGTCCACCTCTTGAAAAGGTAGATTTAAACACTCGTTTAGGTCAGGTATTTAGTAGCATAGCTCTGGTTTCTGTGACATACTTGTTAGCATCATAACACAGCCATTCAGTGTGGCATGATTAACAGTCTTAAGACAGGAAGAGCGCCAAAATAGTAGGGCCACATCAGGTCAGAACCGAGATGTTCTAACGACATTATGTGGAGGAAAGCTCCATTCTAGCTAGTGATAGTAAATCTTTAATACTGAACACTAGACTTAAAACCAAAACCCATTTGATTTCCACTATATAACTTTTTTGTATACGCAATTTCCATCATATATATACCTGTAAAATTCACCAAGGCAAACAGCTGATACATGTACTTTTTGTCTTAATGGAGTAGAAATAATCCCTTTGGTGTTCACTTGCCTAAAAGGCATCATGAGATATGGAGGAATTATTTTTCATCAACAAGATATACAACAGGAGAAAAAACCAAATCATACCAGTGGGCATGCCCTGGTACAAGGTCAACATAGGAATTTCCATAAAACTGTGGTATGAAGTTCTCCTTTTTGAGCAGCAACTTGAGGCACACAACACAAAACAGTTGGAATTGCCTTTTTTAAACTTTTAATACTAAGCATAGAAAAACAAGGCAACTATGAAAAATACCTCCTTCTGTTAATTTTAGAACAAACATCTCAACTGCGCAAGTTGCCTTTTTTCTTCTGCCATCCTGGCCATCACTGGCACGTTAACGACCAGGCTGTTTCCAAGCACAGAGGTGGCATTTGCCCATTCCTGATCACCTTCTAGGGGAGAAAGTCAGCTGGGTATAGTTGTCCATGAATCTGATAAAGCCACCAGCAAGGCCATGCAGAGTAACTTATTTAGAGTTAAAAAAAGTTTTATCAAGAGCTCCAAGGGGAAAAGGCCTAGTTTAAACAGACTTCAAAACTCAAAAAACCCAAGAAGTAGTAATTCAAATGTAACTCTTGTTTCTGAGAAGCTGAACAGGACATAAGCTTCATTTTTCAGAGCATTAAAATCTTACCATCTCTACAGATAGGTTCTTAACTGTGTCAGAAACATGCTCTTAATTTCCAATTCCTGTCAACTTTTTGGGTGGTCTTATAGATCTTATCCTATGCCAGAGTGCTTTCATCTCTCCTACTGTTCTCTAAGGAGCAGAGAGGGAGAATGCAGAAGGAAAATCTGACATTTCCCTTGATTCTTTTGAGTAACAGTAATTCTAGTAATACTTAGTAAACTGAGGTATTTAGTCAAAGTAAGTTTCCAGACTGATGCTTCCAGCTGGTAACAGCCTTTTAACCATTGCTTCCCTTATTACACACTAGTTAGCTACTTCTTTGTAAATAGGTTTAAAATTGCTTACAAGTGAATTGTGACTCCCAGTCCCTCAAGGCCTCTTGCTGTGTAGCATTGAGATCAGACAGGTCATCATAGTCATCCCTCAGAGCCTCCTTATCCAGGCAGAAAGTGGCAAGACCTCGGGATGCATCTCTTCCAGCAAAAATCCCATACGGGCCCTCTTTAAAATAAAAACATAAGCAGCATTATTACAGAGGTAATGGATGCTGTATGATCTTCATGGATCAGAGTCCCCAGACTGAAACGGATCATGGTTCCTACCCTGACCTGTGAGTCAGAGGTGCCTCAAACTTCTGAAACATTTTAAAGTTTTATTCTTGGTAATAAAGGAAAACAGAGGAAGAGGACAAGAAACAAAACCATGGGAAGAGATACTGAGTTTGCTGAAACATCAGGACAATGAACGGTGCATGGAACATACGAACAGGGTAAGAATAAGCATACAAATTGGGAAAGCACATCCTTAGAAAGAGGAACAGGGGAAGCCTTTGTAATTTGTAAGTCTGAGGTGAAAGGGAAGTTTTCTAAGAGATGCTCCTGACTTAAAGAGTGAAAGGATGACTTGACAGAAAATGTGGTGGAGATACTAGAAATTACCAACTTGGAAGAAATATCTGTTAAAACTTTGAAGACGCAAGATGAACTCAAATGATCAAAACATGCAACTCACAGTAGATCAGAGATATCTTATCAAGACAAACCCTTGCTAAACTTCATTAACGATTAACCTGCTTGCATGACAAGGCGAAAACGCAGTATCACATGTTGCAACTAGACATTGAAAATTCTTCTTAAAGGAGCTTAAAGAAGTTAGATGTGAACTCTGGTTACTGTAGAGAGCATGCCATCTTCCACACCTCCCAGAGTGAGCTTTTTCCTAAATTCATCAGAAGAATCTTACCTTTCCGTTAAAATGAAAACCAAACTAGCCAGACACTGTGATGAACCATTCAGCAATTACCAAATTGGATACAACAGGCAGCTTTTACTGTTGTCAAGGAAGGTAGTATCCAAAGCATGGTCCTTAAATCAAGTTGGTTTTAGTTTGCACAAATACAAACCTGCACACCTAACTCAGCTGTATGTATCATCTTGACTGCTGCAGAATGCAAAGTTACAGTCCAGCACCATTCCATGACAGTCTCCAGTCTGTGTTTGGACCAAAAGTAATAATTTCATCATGCTTCCAAAGACGTGGTGTCTCTTGCACTATCCTTGTCTCTGAGTAGCACTGGCAGCTCACTACAGCAGCTACCAGCTGTCTGCACAACTCAAGAGTGGTTATGCCAGACAGATCCTGGTACAAATTAACAAGCCTCAGTGAGGCTGTTTAACAGGAGCGCCTCTGTTAAAAATAAAAACCCATGCCCTAGCGGAGGTGATTAAATTCTTACACCTGGGTGCACATACTCCCACCCACCTCATCCCTAGCTGCTCTGTAAGTCTCTGCATAGCTTATTCAATCTTTGCACGTTTGAACTGCCTGCACTCCTGACAGGAAGCTGGCTTAATCTAAATGGTTAGGTATTTAGCATATATATTATGCAATAGACGGATGTCCACTAGAAGTTGGGAATGGAATGTAAACACTTCACTTCTGCTGCCCGGCATCAGCCAAAGGCACCCGAAGCTGACGAAGCCGCCCAACCCAACAGCGGCACAACCCCTTACGGTGCGGGTAACCTGCCCTGGGAAAATAAAGGCAATAAGAAACAACGTAGGCTGGCAAAGCCGGGGTTTTTACAACACCGAGGCCCGACACCCGAGCCCAGGCGACAGCAGTAATCCTGCCCGCCGCCTCACCCGGGGAGGCAGGTGATGAGAGCGCTGCCGGTTGTGGGATCTTGTCACAGGCCGAGCTGCGCGCACCCTTCCCAGCTCTAAAGCAACCCGAACGCTTTCCAAATCTCCGGATCGTGAGCAGGGGCGAGAGGGCACGGGCAGCTCAGCCCAGCGTTTATCCCGCAGGCCAGGAGGCGGGCTAGGCATTAAGGCGGAGCACGCCGATCCCCGGGCCGCAGGGAACAAATTCCCCCGCCAGCACCGGCCCCCCGGCGGGGCCCAGCCGGGCCAAGCCGCCGAGGCCTCCCCCACCCTCCTCCTCCTCGCCGTGATCCCTCCGGCCAGCGGCCCCGGCCGGATCCCGGGCACAAAGAGCCGGGGGTTCCCGGGCTGGGCCTGCGCCGCCGGCCCCCGCCCCGCCCGGCCCGGCCCCTCACCGGGCCCGTAGAACTTCCTGGCGCGGCTCACGTCGAAGACTTTGCCGTTGATGGCCATGAGGATGCGGGGGTCGCGCACCCCGTCGTAGGGCCGCAGCTGCGCCAGCGTGAAGTCGCGGCGCTTCATCTTAGGCAGCGGCGGCGGGTCCGCCTCGCCCGCCGGCGCCGCGGGCCGCTCGCCCCGCAGGATCTGGTAGAGCAGGAAGAGGCAGAGGCCCAGCAGGCTCAGGTTGAGCGGGGAGCCCACGATCTCCAGCAGCAGGCCGCCCCCCTCGGCCGCCGCCGCCGCCTCCTCGCCGGCC